AATGAACTAAAGGGAGGGACTGAATTCACACTTTTATAGAGGGGCAAAAATACAGCACATGGGTGTGCTGAAAGGTGAGATGAGCAGTGCATCACAATAACTATTTTATCTTAACTATATTGTTTTGATAAGGATGTGCCCTGAGTTAAAATGTGATTAACTGCACAGAACTGAAACTTACTGCAAAAATTGAATAAGTGGAGTTAATGCCCATCAATGCTTAAAAGAACCCAACACTTATAACTTATAAGCCTGTAGAAAAGTACAGACTATCTAAAAAAGAAACTGAATGTTCTTTTCTCTGCTTCTTCCTGACTTTGTGCATCAGTTTATAAGTACAGTACACAAATCCGCAGATGTACATTTACAAATCCACCCACCTGCCGCATTCCCTGTTGGGAAATATGCAAAGTGTTATGTAAAACACTGAAGGGAAAAGTACTAACTGTAAATTTGGACGTGACTGAAGCCTTTGTGCAGTCACTTTGTCATTCTGTGCTCTGTTCTCTGCAGGTTTCTGCAGCTTTAGCATTGATTCTTTTATTGCGGATTCACATCAAAGCATCAAAATGTGAGTAAAGTATCATAAATGCTGCCTCACAAACAAACCTGCTGGCTCATTTTACAAACAAATACATGCAAATGCGCACGTGCTGAACACACAGAGCACTATCCACCTCCCATCTCCGAGCCCTCTGACACACTCTCTCCGCTCGTCCTTCTGAGCCACTGCGGAAGGAAACCAGCAGCGCTTTGCACACCAACAGGCAGAAACTGGTTTGTATGCAGACAGAGTATCTTCAACACTGAGCACAGGAGATTCAATTTATTATGCACACTCGGCAGAAGACATAAGGGTGGGAGGGATAATCTATATTTGGTAGGATAGAGAGGTGATGTAGCAAAAAGACAGAGAGATTGGGGGGAGACGCGGTTGCAGGATTTAGGCTGTTATTATTATGGAGACACCTGAACATTCATACAAAGTGCTGCAGCTCTGCGATCAGTGACGCCTGCAGCAGTTGGCACAAGACGCTTGCTGCTGGCACATTAATTCATTGCTGTATCTTTCACACAAATCCTTCCACTGCAACACTGGCTGAGTTTACTCTGATACTGTAAACACATTCAAATGAAAGCAAAGACTGCAGTTTAGGCTTAGAAAAAAAAATATTGAAATAATGAAAAAAAGGTTTGTAATTCAACATGACTTATTTGATAACTGGAGTGTTATTATGATGTTATTATTATATTCTGCATGTAAAGTGACAAAAAGACTCACAGATTAAAGGTGGGGACCCTATAATATTTTTTTTGTGAAACATCTTAAAAAAATAAACAGAATTATTATCATTTTGTGCTGAAAACTATCTGAAAATACAGGGTAGTATGCAAACTGGCAAAACTCTGTAGTTTGCAGCATTGTGGTGAAGTTTATGGTAATACGTCATGTTGGACTGAAGATGCTGATTAGACTCAGAGCCATGAAAGCTTCTGAATGAACAGGTTCAATCCAAATAATCTCAGAGCAGCAGAGCAGGTCAGCTGATCACTGCCTATAAACAAATCTACTGGAGCTCACAAGGAAATGATTAGATGACGTTCTTTTCTCCACATTACAGTACTACATCAGATTTTAGGATTTTCCTGCTTGCCAGACGCCCCTGGCTTCACCCTTTAGTTTGTGAACTCACATTTTGAAGCTTAGGATTCAGGATTTTGGTCAAAACTTCTGAAAGCATTGCTTGGACAGTGCTTACGGCTCAGCTCTGAGTTGGTAAACCCTGACATCACTTCAGAATCGAAGGTAAATTAATTGGAATCTCAGGGCTCATGTGATTCTGCTAAATGAATTTCATCCCGACTGTCCACTAAATATCAAAGAAATCAGCTGAAGTGGTTTGGAGATATCCCACTGAAGGAAAATAAAACATTATCTCCTCAGCAGAGGAAATTACAACTCTGCCTCTCACAGGCAGCATTTTCTGCTCACACACACACACACTGACTGAAGTGCTTCACTTGGAAGGGAGCAGCATTTATCAGGGCGTTAACTGATTGCCTTTCACCTTTAGGAGCCGGTTTTGCTAAGTATGCTCACTGACAGCACGTCTGGGGCCTGTTAGCTGTGTTTCACACTATCAATTCTTCAGTGTGCAGCCCATCATTATGATAGGACTCAGAAAAGAGGAATGCGGTTAATCATAGAAGAAGCTGTCTGACCACATATTGATCATAGCTGCCGTCTTTCACTTTAGCTGTCACTGTGTAGACACGAGTTCAGTCACTGTTGCTGCACATGTAACAGCTCAGTCACAGCTGGAGTTGCACTCAAGCAATGCTTTGAAGACTTAATGATTCTGTCATCCACCCCACTGGGTGGTGTGGAAAACAGGCGGGCTTTTCAATGAAAACACAGTATGCTGCTGAAGTTGGAGAAACATCACAACAACAGGCTCCCACTGTCACGGGCCGCCAGGGCAGACAGTGTGGAGTGAGTGGAGGACCCAAGAGCAAACAGAGGTGAGGACACAAAACCGGACTTAACAGAAGGCGAGCCTTTATTTAGGGCCGAAAACTTAAGGAACAAGGCAGCAAAGCAACTGAGGGAAAACCTGAACATAGACTGGGAAAACTATGGCTAAACAAAGTACAAACTAGGACTAGTTAAGGCTGGGAAACTATGACAAGGGGTAGGGGAGATAACACAGACGACGCGACGCAGACTACATGAAACACAGAGACTAAATACACATGAGGGATGATCAGGGGAAGTGGCCACACATGGGATCACAGCTGACACACATGAACCTAACGACAGGACAGGAGGGTGCAACTGAATACACTGACAATGAATACAGACTTACAAAGTAAAACAGGAAACATGGAAATTAGACATGACAAGAACTAAACATAACCACGCAGACAGGACTCATGACCCAGGGAAACTTAGTACAGGGGAGATGACATAGCTGACAGCATGAACTTGACAGTACAAGACACACAGACATAAACACACGAAGGGCAAGGGAGACTTAATGCAAGGGTAATATATACAAATGGCTGGGCTACCTTAGAGAACCTAAACAAACAATAAACATCAAAATAGGCTAAACATAACACACTGGGTCACACGACCCAGGACCATGACACCCACCTTCTGGTTTCTGCCTTCCTACTAAAGTTTTGCTTCAGGAATTTGCTCCACCTCAAGCTCATGAGCAGCACTGAGGTCGGGGCACAAGCGTGACCTCCCCTGGAGCAAATGTCAAAGTAATGTTATCAGCAGAGGTGCTTTAATCGCTTTTACATCTTTGTGTTCAACATCTGGTCTTGGGTAGAAGAACTGTTCCAACATCTGTGCAGATGTTGAGGACGACTCCCAGTCCTAACCTGTAACCCAGGGGTGTCAAACTCAAATACACAGTGGGCCAAAATTCAAAACTGGAACAAAGTCGCGGGCTAACGCTAATATTTATTGAAATATATTTATTCCTCCAGATATAAGAATGAATCTTTTCTTATGGACTCAAACACGTTTTGCTGAAAAACTGAATATGGAACAAGCAAAGCTTAATGCTAAACAATATATATATTAGCTGTATAATACCAGTAGGCCAGCTCTGATAGTAATTTGGTATGGCTTCGCGGGCCAGAGTTTGACACCTATGCTGTAACCGCTTTCTTATTATCTGAACTAGCCGGGGGTTTATAATGCTGAAAACGCAAGGAGGATGTTTTCCAAAAGTTAAGGCACATTAAGTTCACCATGCAACAAATGAGGCACAATTTAAGTGTGGATAAACAAAAAAATGGGTGTTGTCCAAAGAAAGGCTGTAGCGTATATGGCGAGGACACTGTGTGACCATCTTTTTTGCAAATCAAAAGTTAAGAAACAAAGGCACGTGTCTGCATGTCGGTATTTCATGCTTCGGCTGACTGTATCTATGTTGTGCATGGAAAAAATCGGGGCGATAATGCTGCTGTTTCAGGTGGATTTATCTGTTTTGCTCATTTCAGTTTACTTTCTGTTTCTAGATTCTAGATTTAATGATTTAAGCAGATATGTGGGCAGGTGACAAGCTTAGTCTTAGACTGTTGTCTGGTAGGTAAAGTAATGAGGAAAGTAATGACCTGTTTTCAAAGGAAGTTACTTTTATGAGCCCAACACCAAAAACAAACGTTGTTGTCGGCAAGTTCTGTGATGCCGAATAAATCACAAGAAAATCATTTAAGATATCCCAAAACACCTGAGTATCTAAAGAAGGACTAAAAAACACACACTGACAGAATATATTTATGGCCTCTGTAATGATCTACATCCATTCAGTATCACAGTGTCGTTAGATTTCAGTGATGTAGCTTCTGAATTATTATCTATCTCTCTGATTTTCTTTCCCTTACAGCTACGCTCCTCTCATTTGAGCTTCTTTTTCAGAGCTTAAAGTTTACTTCTGTTTACTAATTCTCTTGATTTGATAAGCGCCCCCTACAGGAATAATAAAGTAATGACTTTGAGAAGACTAACGAGGACCAACTTAAGGCACCTGCATTTCACTAAATATAAAATCAAACAACAAAGGTGATGCAGCATATGACCTAATCTACATTGTCTCTTTCCTAATATCCAAGCGTATTTTTGGCAACGTAATCTTCTCTCATTGGTAAAACTTTGATACATGAGTGATTTATAAGTACTAGTATAAGTACTGAGATAGGGCAGTAAAGAATAGAGGCACCTTTTACTAAGCTGTAAACAGACCTGACTTCCTCGTATCATTCTTTCTCTAACAGGGAGCAGTGAGCCTAAAGCTGCGGTAAGCCTGAGCATAAAGGAGCTCTTATGTATCTTTTCACAGCAGCTTTGTGTACCTGGCACAACGATAAGCTTGTCCCGAGGACGTGCACATTTTCAACATATTCCACATTCTTTGTTTCTTTCTATTGTGGCACTCTTGCTTTTTCCACTTGCAGCACGAAGTCATGCATTCGTGACTCACCAGCACAGCGTTGAAGCGTTCCTCCAGCTCTTCTTCAGGTGGCATCGGGAGTTTCGCTCCGGCTGTTTGTCTCTGGGGCCCTGTGGACCCCGGGCCCGATGGCTTGCCATCCTTTCCCTGAGAAACCTCAAGGCTTCCTGCTGCATTCCCCATGACTGGCAATCCAATAGATCCAAAAAACACACATATGCACAAAACTCAAAAGAACAGTCACTGCCAGAGTCTCAAAAAGGATCAAATGTGGGTCTGTCTGCTCATCCAAAGTTAGGTTCTGTGTAGCTTGTGGCCTTCCATTATCTCCACAACTCCTCTGTGTTGGTTAACATTTATTACTTGTCAGCTTTCAGTTTTCTGACAAACAGAAGAATGAAATCCACCCCAGCCTCTGAATGACAGCTCAGACCTGGCTCAGGTCCTAGTGTATTATGAAACCCTAGAAAGAGGGAAGGGGATATCCTGACAGGGACGGACGGACTGACAGCTGAGCGAGTGACAGAGGAAAGGGGGAGGAGGGAGACTTCAGAGCCTGAGGCAACTGCTGAACAGCAGGCTGAAATAACAACAGGAAAAAAATCAACAGAAGAAGATAAACAGCAAAATATAGGCAGCACTTTGGTGTGGAGGAAACTCAGGAGGAAACTACTCCCAAAGCTGCTGCAGGTAAGCACACTCAGCTGGAGCTCCAGGTGATCTGTGGAGGTTCTTCATCTGCTGCTGGATGCTGGTAGTCGGTGGACCTCTGAACTCCATATCCAGAGTAAAAGAAAAAAAGAGGGGAAAAAACAGGGAAGAGCAGAGAACCGGCAGGCAGCTACTCTGTCTATCCGACAGGAGAGAAACTGAAGGCAGCAGTGGCATTAGTTAATAGCACAGAGCACTCTGGGTCCTAATGCCTCCCCATTCAGGCTGCACCTGACCATGGGAGCTTTCAGAGAAGGTGTGTCAGATGCATTTTAGTTCATAGGCCACATGACACTCAGTCAAGTTCAAGTGGGCCGAACCAGTTAAAGCCAAACAATATACAAAAATATCTTTAGTTCATGAATGCAAAGAAGTACATTCTGAAAATCACATTTTTTTACTTTTAAAGAGGAACTCGTTTACAAAAATTTGATCAACAGCTACTAATCTCTAAGAAAAAATGAGATTGCTGCAGTGAAAACATTAAACTCAACCAGAGCAACAGAATAGCTTAAACAAAGAATAATTAATAAATTAAAGGAGCATCTCAAGAAAAAATGAAAGAAGTTACAGTATCATATGATTGTTGGGTTTTTCTCTGTATGTATGATTGTAGGGTCTACCTTTAATTTAATTTACAATCTAAATAACATGCAGTTCTCTGACGACTCTGCAATAGTCGGCCTCATCACTGATGGGGACGACAGGAAGTACAGAGAACTAACACAAGGCTTTGTGGACTGGTGCCAGCAGAACTACCTCCAGATCAACACTAATAAAACCAAGGAGCTGGTGGTAGACTTCCACAGGCACAAACATCCTCCTCTGCAACCACTGAACATCCAAGGTATGGACGTCGAGGCTGTGGACAGCTACAGGTACCTTGGTGTTCATCTGAACAATAAACTGGACTGGACTCATAATTCAGACGCCCTCTACAGGAAAGGGCAGAGCAGGCTGTACCTGCTGCGGAGACTCAGGTCAATTGGGGTGAAGGGCCCACTCCTGAAGACCTTCCGTGACTCTGAGGTGGCCTCAGCCATCTTTTATAGTGTCGTCTGCTGGGATGGCAACCACTCTGCCGGGGACAGGAAGCAACTGAACAGGCTGATCCGCAGGGCCAGCTCTGTTCTAGGGTGCCTTCCGGCCCCAGTGGAGGTGGTGAGTGACAGGAGAATGGAGGCTAAGCTGTCATCCCTGTTGGACAACATCTCCCACCCCATGCAGGAGACTGTGACAGCATTGAGCAGCTCCTTCAGTGGCTGCGGCACCCACGGTGTGGGACGGAGAGATTTCACAGGTCTTTCCTCCCCACTGCTGTCAGACTCCACAACAAAGACTCCAACTGATCAAACACACACATCCACACATGTGCAATAAGACTAAGTGCAATACTCGTTCTCTGACAAAGTTGTATTTTTAGTCAGTTGTATAGCATTTGTATTCTATTTTTATCCTATTGTATATATTATTTTATTCTATTCTATTCTGTACAGTTGTGTACAGTATCTTATTCTTATTGTATTCCAGTGTTCTCTAATTTTTGCTATATAACTTTGCACTGTCCAATTTCTGCTGTGACAAAACAAATTTCCGATGCCTCTTCATGTGATATATTACTCGATGTGGTTTCTTGATTTCTTTAGACCAAGCACTGAAGGTCAAGATCAAACACTGAGCTCATCAGTCGCATACCTGCTGAAGTTCAGGGTCTGGCTGGGCTGGGGTCAGCAAACATTCAGTGTCAGCATCACTCTGGGTTCCTGCTTAGCGTTAGCATGGTGTCTGTGCAGATGCTTGCAAAGAGCCAAAGTGATGTTAGCTGAATGATGCAGCTGTTTTGCTCGTGGATGTAGTGTACCATTTACCACAAGTGCTCTCGTCCTTTTGTGCAAACGAGTAAAAGTTATGTTCACATCCAGGCTGTAGACTGCATCGCTATTCTCCTCCTCAGACACATGAAATGAAAAGTGCAACTGTAACTGGTAAGCAGGATCGACAGATAAGCAGACTATCAGACATATTGCGAGAGCAGTAAACGGATAGAAAAACACAATGAAACTATCAGTCATGGATTGGCCTCCTCAGAGCCCGGACTTCAATATTATTGAAGTATTCTTATGACAGATAACTAGTATAAGGTCCAAAGAGATATCAGGGCCAGTGCAGGAAAAACATCATCAGACCAAAGACCCAGAATAAAGCATAAACTTTAAGAGTAGCCAATTCAAGAATCTGGCATATTCTTAAATAAGATGAAGGCACTGGCCTCCTCAGCAACACCAAAGGCAGAAGACAACCAAAGAGTATGATGACATGGTCAAGAAAAACAATAATATAACATGTAACCACATCCAGAAGACTTTGAAGGAGGCAAGCATATCATTGTCTACAATGAACAGGAGGGAGCTGCTTTACTACAGCATTTGGTGACATTGATCGATTCAAGACTGCAAGCAATCATTGTCTTCATCCAAGTATTACAAACAATTCTGCATCTTAAATGTGCATAAAGACGAATCTAATTCTTGAAGAGTTCATGTGAATGTTTTGCATAAAAAAAACAACAACAACAACAAAAAAATAACCCTCAAATTAAAGCTCAAATCTGCACTTTGATCAGATTTTGATTAACTACAAAAAAAATTCTTTGTCAATTTTATGACACTAAATCCATTCATGTCTTGTGTCTTGCATTGTTTGAACAAAGGAGAAATCCATCCATCCATCCATTCGCTTCCGCTTATCCTTTTCAGGGTCGCAGGGGCGCTGGAGCCTATCCCAGCTGTCATAGGGCAAGAGGCGGGGTACACCCTGGGCAGGTCGCCAGTCTGTCGCAGGGCCAACACACAGGGACAGACAACCATTCGTGCTCACATTCACTCGCACAAAAATAGAAATAATGAGAAAACGCCTCTTTAGAGGTCACACTATTCTTAAACACCACATTTTTAAACATCTGTAATGACAGAGCTTCACCACCACCGCATCCTGAGGAGCAACAATAAAATAGCTTTTATTATTATTTTTAACTTTAATGGAAAACTCCAAAACAATACATCAGCCTTAAAATCATAAACACTGACGTGATGTGTAATTTAAAGCCACAGACGTTGGAGGACTGGTACTTATATAAGTCAAAATAAAGCAGTTCATGAGTCTTTCTAAATTAATAAATAATCCATCAATCAATAGTACAAATGGAAAGTGAGTTTACAGATAAACATTAAACACTCATAAAAAAAAAAAAACAAACATTGTTGAATTCAAAATAAAAACAGCATTTTTTTACAGAATGCAGTAATTAAACAGATTAAAAATTCAAATTAAGATGTGTTGGATGTGTTGCTCCTCAGCATCACAGAGCAGTTTTAGAACAACTGAGAGTCATAAATGCTTGTTTATTTATTGTGTATTTGCAGATACAAGCCCAGAACAACTTTGGGGTTTTTCTTCCACCAAAGTTTTAGAGACTTTTGTCACCACAAACACACCAAACAAGTGCTCCTTCAAAATCTGTGCATCTATTACTCATACCTGCTACAGACAGAAGTACTAAATGCTTAGTTTCTAGGGTTTTTATTAAACCAAGAACATCACAGTGCTGCAGATTTATTAAAACAGAGATGGTCAGTATGGAGGTGAGATCCGACTTACTCTTGTCTCACTGTGTTAAATCAAAAAGGGGACTTAGATTATATTAAATATGTTTAACTTTCCTCAGCTCTGTACCTGTACGCTTTACAGTGTCCTGTCATCTAAGACTTTGTATCAGGCTGACATCTTGTGGGCAAAACTGTATTACAGTTTTCAAAGAGTGGGCTAAAGATGACACGCAGCAGTGAAATGGACCCAATCAGAGCAGTTGGTCAAAGTCAAAGGAGCTGCTTTATTTTTTTTATATCACCTTTATTTAGACAGATAAATCTCATTGAAACACAAGGTCTCATTTTCAAGAGCAGCCTGAATGTGTTAAACACACTATAGTCATTACATTTCATAAAACCAACTAGCTAGAAAAATTCAACTAAAAATAAAATAAAAGACTGTAGAAATAAAATATTACAAACAGGAACAGCCATGCAATGATGTTTTGTCTATCATCCTTACAATTTATTAAAAAACCCTTCAGTTCATTTAAGCTGCACAACTTCAAGTACTGTTGTAATTCGTTCCAAGTATAAGGAGCATTGTAGGAAAATGCCTTTTTCCAAGCTCTGAGTTTATAGTTAGTTAATAAGGTGGGATAGCCACATTTTTCTAAGGGTAGTGTGAAAGCTGTTTTCCAAACATCAGGAACAGTATTAGTTTGAGTGGAAATATTACAAATATGTGACACTGGTTGGGCTATAAGACCTGCAGCGAGGTGTAAGAAATAGGGAGGAATGCTATCAGACCTACTGATTTTTTTAGGATGGGGAGAAAGTTTACAGGAGGGGAGGAAGAGAAAGATAGAGAAGAAGAAGAGGGAGAGAGGAAAAAACACTGAGAATCTGCTGAAGAAAAAAAAAGACACACCAGAGAATCCACAACATGTGCCTAAAAAACAGTAAATAATAAATAAGTAATGTTACTGAACAGCACACAGTACTAATAATACAAGCAACAGCCACAGTGCAGAGCCCACAAGGGGCTGTGACGTTGAGCCCACAGGCTCTGCCGTGGTCCACACCAGAGATTGGACACCCAAGGGCACCCCACCCCCAGCAGGGGCCCTGGGCAGGCAGCCACAAGTGAGTCAGTACACAATCACCTGGCACTGGACACCGAGAACCACCAATGCCACTGGCAAGGAGTGTGGTCGGGGGAAATAGACCCCACACAAGGGGAGTCAAAACCCTATCCTGACACACAGACATATACAACAGACTCACAAAGACACAATAGAGAGAGGGAGAGAGATGCTATAGATCTTTTAATGGTATATTTATGGTGTCTTTCCATTTGGGTTACTTCATAGTGGAAAGCTGTTGTTTGCAAGAGAACATTCATATGTTAGTGTGTGCAGAAATACCAATTTTTTTGTATTACTCTGATTAAAATGAGATCAAATATGCATGTTCTAAGTCAGATCAAATCTGTTGTTTGTTTATCATCTAAAAAATAAACAAAGTTTCAAGTACAA